ACCAACGTAGGAAAATGGTTTTGTATAAAATAGTGGCTGAGAACATAGTTTCTGGGAAAGGCTGAGCCTTCACTCTGCCACCTATCGGATCAGCGTGACCTTGGACAACTTTCTACTATGTCAAAATTTTCTATATTGGACATGTATTACTTTCACGGTAAGAAAATAATTAAATAATTAAATTTGTTAACTGAAAAAAGCTGCCTTTACCATCTAAATCTGAGTTATGCTTCATACACATGTATAGGGCATCCAGAGGTCAGAAAAAAGTGATCAAACCAATATGTGGAAGAAAATTGTGTCAGAGAAAGAGCACGAGCTAGCACTGTCCTTTATAAATCTGTCATTACTATGAGTTTCAGTTTCCTCATACTTCCTCATCAGAATATCTACCCAGCAGAATTGCTAAGAGATTTGTACTCTTTAAAATACAGCCTTGTGCCAAGTGCATTGTATATGTTCAAAAAATAATAGCTATCATTTTTATGATACATATGATGCCTCTACATTTTCTCTAAACCATAAACTAAATAAGCTCACAAAAATTGTTAAGGGAAATGTTTTCTTTTTTATGATAGCTATGAGTTTATTTTCTGAACACATTAAACCCCCAACTCTCTCCTCCTGTAGGGAGCACAGTCTGTTGACTTTGGATCAAATTGAATTGAAACAGCCTGTATCCAGGTGATATCCAGGATGTCTGCTCAGGAGGAACCCAGACACCGAGGAAAGCCCAATCTGGTGCTGGGGAATAACTTGGCAGGCACAGGAACATACAGGGAAAGAAAAAGCTGCAGACAAAAGGGCCCAACTAAAGGGAAAAGCCACTGAAGGAATAGGAACCAGAATTAGATGATGATGATGATGATGACAATGACAATGACAAAGAAGACAGTGATGAGAAAAACTGAATCACAGAGCAGTTAAGGGAATTGGCCATGTTCATACAGCAGGTAAGGGATAGAACTTAAATCTGAATCTTAGAAATCTGGCTCCAAAGATTTGGCTCTTAACCCAAAAACAATAAGGCGTACACAATTCCCAGTTCACACAAAAGTGGAAGGGCAGCCTACTTCACCTCTGTTAGAGCAGATCCAGAAACCTGCCTCATGTCTACCACTCCGAGCTTGGCCTTAATAACCACTATTTCTCACTCCAAACCAAGTTTTCTAACTGCTCCAAGCAACCAGCCCTGTTTGTGATTATGTGGGTAAATAAATCCCTGTGAACTCACTCTCTCTCTTCTCTCTCCTGCTCCCTCTCTCTCTGCTTAATAATGCTCAAATGTCTCCTGGCATCCTATCATGCTCCTGGGAGCCTTTGACTTTTTACAACAGATCCATTTATTGGCTGTCATCTGCCAGAGAGCAGAGTCTTCATCATTGTAAGTAACGATTCAAAACTTCTATCCTGGATTGGCCTTTCCCACTGGTAGTGTTGTCAGTGACTTCCATGGCATGATACATAGGACTCTGAGAAGGTCTTTGCAACAAAATTGTCTTTCTAGTCATAGAAAGACAGCTGTGTCACTGAAATGCTGTTATTAACATTTTATTTCTTTGAGTTGAACATTTTTTTCTACCTGCTACTCCAACAAAGATTATAGATACATTCCCTCAGATATCTGCATAGCTGTCCTCTTTACTTTCTTCTGATCTTTGTTCAAATGGCAGCAATCCCTTCCATGATGGCTCTACTGGAATTTCAACCCACCACCACCTCTCCTTTCTCCAGCTTTATTTTTTTTTCATAGCATTACCACCATCTGACACATGTCCCTTATTTCTATATTTATTTATTTTTCTTCCCTTCCAACTTCAATGTAAGTTCCATGAAAACAGACATTTTATATATATATAATTTTGCCCATAGCTGTAGTCTTGAAACTTGAACAGTGCCTAGGACATAGTAAGTGCTCAAAAGTATTTGCTAAATGAGTAAATTAATCAGCAGTCAATTAATAAATGAATGAATGGCACAGTAGGTCCCCCTTCTCTGTGGTATATATGTTTGGAAACCCCCAGTGGATGCCTGAAACCAGGGATAGCACCAAATCCCATGTATACTGGGATATTTTTCTATCCATACATACCCATGATGAAGTTTAATTATAAATGAGACACACCAAAAGATTAACAACAACAATAATAAAATGTAACAATTATAACAATATGACAGCATCACTACTCTTGCTCTTTGGAGCCATTATGAAGTCAAATAAGGGTGACAAACACAAGTGCTGCAATACTATGACAGTCGATCTGATAACCGAGCTGGCTACTCATTGAGGAAAGGGTAGGGAGCGTAGGCAGTGTGAATATGCTGGACAAGAGGATGATTGACATCCTGAGTGGGGCAGCAGGACTGGGTGAGATTTCATCATGCTGCCCATAATGCCACACACTTTAAAATGTATTGATTGTTTATTTCTGGAATTTTTCATTTAATATTGTCGGACCATCGTTGATTGTGGGTAACTGAAACCTCAAAAGGCAAAACTGTGGATAAGGAGGGACTACAGTATATTCAGTGTAAATTGGTTTTCAGGATAGTTTTCTTCAGCAGAGATGATCAGGCAGGATAAGAGCCTGGAAATCCGGAAGAAATTATGTGAAAAATAATGTGGAAAGTAGAAAAGAGAACTAAGAGCCCTACTCATATTGTATTAATCCATTCTCATGCTGCTATTAAAAACACCCCCAAGACTAAGTAATTTACAAAGGAAAGAGGTTTAATTGACTCACAGTTCCACAAGGCTGAGGAGGCCTCACAATCATGGTGGAAGGCAAATAAGAAGAAAAGTCACATCTTACATGGCAGCAGGCAAGAGAGCATGTGCAGGGGACCGCCCCTTATAAAGCCATCAGATCTCATGAGACTTATTCACCATCATGAGGACAGCACAAGAAAGACCTGCCCCCATAACTCAATTACCTCCCTCCGGGTCTCTCCCATGACATATGGGAACGGTGGGAGTTACAATTCATGATCAGATTTAGGTGGGGACACAGCCAAACCATATCATATATCTCTTGGGGACATTTTTCCAATATTCTATGTTATCACCTTAAAAATTACTTTTTAAAAGTCAGGGAAAATATATGATTTCATGATGCTCATTATAATTAATTGTCCCCCACTGAATGCAGGTCCTGGTGAAAATATTTTTACAGTTCTTCCTTCAGTGATGCATGTATTAATTATTATATTTCCCCACTACTTCCTCTACATTTGTATGTATAACCATGAATGTGTCCCCTTGCTCATTTCAGCTTGCATTTTTATTTCTTTCTTCTACTTTTTTGTATCTTCCCCACAACTCTGAAGCCAAAGCAATTCATCCACACCTAAGATTCAGGAGACTCCACATGGAGCATAAACAGCAGGACCTGTAAATACAAGAAGTTTGTCTATTCTCTCTTATGGACTATTGAGAAGAGAGTTTATCAGAAGCAGAAAAATCCTTTAACCTAAGACATCATTTTTAGCAAAGCTGTTACTGTTTTGAAATT